GATCAACATCTAATTGAGGGGTAATTCTTGGCAACAAGGCTGTGCTACGAGGCCACGTCGGCTGCGGGAGGAATAAGTACAGTTTAGAAAGGTCGCGCCCTGAACGAACTGAAGAGGGGTGAATAGGGGTGAAGATAAGGCGGCGATGACACCTTACCCACTGGATCAAAAAGTGACGGGTGAGCACCGACATACAACAGAAGGGATTCGCTGGTGGTCACCCACCCAACTACTAACCTCCCGGCGTGTGGCTTGAGTACGGCTGAGCGGACGGGAAGCCCTATTTTCCACACCCTGTGGTCGTATGTGAAGGACTCTTCTTATCTTTGCAACATATCACAAATTGTATCATAATGTGTTGTTACAGCAACATGAACCCATAGGTGGCAAAGATTTGAGTATGGTGTTGACGACGTGGATACGCGATCGACTCAAACTATGTGAGGCTATCTGAGCTGAACTTTTACAATGAGCGTGGCAGGCGGTGAGCAGCCTGGCCAGAACGCATGGCCACCTTGGGCAAGAGACCAGACTTTTGCAGAGTGGCCCGCTATATCCATCTGTAACCAGGCAAGGCAGGGTGTAACAGGCAAGACTTAGAATGCAGGTAATCGACCGAGCTGATGTTGTGGTTCTCTCTAACACAAGGCATTTCGTGCTAATCCAGAATAATAGTAGACATCGTCACAGTATACATATAGATAAAGCTCATCCAGAACAGAAGTATGGTCAAGAAATAATCAGGTATCCGACAGGCAGGCAAGTGCCACACCCTGACACGACTGTGCAGCAAGCCAGCGTGCCCGAGAGATCCCAGAGCATCCTGCGAGAAATAGCTCAGAAATAGCAACCATAACGATTCTGAGAACAGCCCAGATAGTGCTACCGTGACCGCTCTTAAGGCCAGGACTCCCACCATCCTCAAAGCACAGAATAGAGAAAGTCAGAATAGAGAAAATTGACTACCACGGTCTTTCTCAAAGGGTGACAACTGCGGCAAAGATTTTCACAAACACTTGATGTGGTTAGCTGAACTGACAAACCGAATCAGCTACCAGCTCAAGTATGTTTCCTGTTTCGAGGCCCCGTATTACTACATACCCCACATTCACCTGTGCAGACTCGAATGGATGTAGCTGATTAGGTCGAAGGATTCAGCAAAAAGGTAAGAACCATATCTTGGTATATATCCATGCAGTGATCATAACGGAGCTGCATATTGGACCTTTCCGAATGGGAGGTGAACAAAACTTATCTGCGTGGAGGCCCATGCTAGCAGACCGGATTAGAAGAAAGGCATAAGACGGTCACTAGAAATAAAATGAATACTTTCGGTGGGGATGCGGAGCATTCACATATGCATTTGATACACAACAGCAGAAGCAACTACTATAACTAACCTAAAAGGAACAGGAGCTACTCCCCGAACGGCGCATACCATGGTGTTCTATGTTGCGACAAGGGACGCCCTCCCGCGTCAGAACCTTATTCCGACTGTCCTACTGCTGGGTCACCTGGCGCGACGAACTGATCCAGTGATGAGATCCTGTCAAGGAGCGAATGACTTCAGGTAGAATTGGTTCTGTCACCGGATGTGATGAGCACCCCCAATGAAACCGAAGGTAATGTGGTACGGGTCCCGGGATTAGGGTTCGGTCCTGCTTTCACAGTCACACAATGCACCACCATCCTTCTGGCGCGTCAACAGGCACATGCATCCATGATAGAGATAAGATATGCTCAGATTGCGCTGTGGGACCCCCTCGTATAAAGAGACATAGACATGAAGAAACCCATTCAGCAACCCCACAACCCTATCAATCTCTACCGATCCTTACCTTACCTACCTCAACCCTCAAAAAATGAAATCCCTCCTCGCACTCCTCCTTTTCCTCTCACAAACCACCGCCCTCGTAACCCCCTGCATCATCGGCGGCACCGAAGTCCCCATCGAAGCCCACCCCTACCAAGTCGCCCTCCTCTACGGGAACGCCCGCACCTGCGGCGGCAGCATCCTCAGCCCCGCGCACATCATCACCGCCGCCCACTGCGTCGCCAGCGCGACCCCGAGCCGCCTCCGCATCCGCGCGGGCTCCGCCCTCTGCGACGCCGGCGGAATCGTGGTCAGCGTCGCCGCGATCGCAATCCACCCGAACTACTCCGCCCCGACCGTCGACAACGACCTCGCCGTTTTGACCTTGTCCCAGAATCTGACTTTCGGCCCGAAGATCGCGCCCGTGGGGTTGCCCGCGTTCGGGGCGGATACGCTTGTCCCCGGCAACGAGGTGGTGGTCTCGGGCTGGGGCGCGACCGGCGAGGGCGCCGCAAACTCCCCGTCCCTGCGGGCTGTGACGGTGTCGGTCGTCGGCAGGGAGGAGTGTCGTGCCGGGTATCGGGGATTCGGGCCGGTGACTGACAGTATGTTCTGCGCGGGGACGCCGGCGGGCGGGAGAAATGCTTGTGGCGGGGATAGTGGGGGGCCTGCTGTTGTGGTTGCCGGCGGGAATGGGGATGGGAATGGGAATGGGAGCGGGAGCGGGAGCGGGAAGGCTGCCCGTGGGGTTTTGGTGGGGGTGGTCTCGTGGGGGCATGGCTGCGGACGGAAGGGTTTTCCCGGGGTTTATGCAAGCACGTCATTTTTGAGGGGCTTTATTGGTCGGGTTACGGGGTTGTAGGATATGATATACCTTGTCTAGTATGTTGGAATGGGATTGATGAGTTCCATGGTGGGTACACAGTAATAGAAGGTACAATAAGGAGCCTTTGCATTTGCATGACGGTATGAGGAAAACCTATCTCAGGGGAAAACTCACACCAAGGCCTAAAACTACTTCGCAGTCCCTAAACCCCAGAAACAATATGATAAGGCAACCAGAGTAGCTCGGGGACTATTTTCACAGTGGAGAGTCCTAATCCTCCGATTCTTGTCCTCCGCAGGAAGTGTTCAGATCATCGGACTCGGCGATAGGATCCTTATTGTTCACCGGATTCTTCGAGGTTTCCATCGCCCAGATCCTCCACCCGTTGCTTGACATCAACATCTATCAGTACGCTGGTTGCCACATACACCCTAGAGAGAGGGTTGAACTCACGCGCATGGCACATCGTAACGCGGCTGAACCCGGTATCGAAATTGTTCGTGGATGTCCACCGGCTGCTCGTTGAGCTTGATGGGCTGGAGCTCGGGTTGATGCGCGTAGTGCGTGAGCCAGAAGTTCGCCTGGCGAGGTTCTCCTCTAGGCTATGTTAGTTTGTTTACTTTGCAAGCCTTATAAGGAAAAAAACGCTTCGTTGATTCATATACTGTAAAGGTGCATTATACGTACGGTGCCACGTCGTCCCAGTTGATATCCCACTTCTCCCGGGGGTTGATCGTGCCGAAGGTGCCTGGGAACCTCATTTTGTGGTCGTGGTGAGGATTTATCACTCGAGGAGATATCTGTGAAGTGTGGAAGGATCAAGTGTCAGCAGCGGGATGTTTGCCTGGGAAACTTGCTGCGAGGGTGGGACGATCTAGGTGGTGGACGTCATGAATTTATAGCCCTGATTCTCTGGCAGTGTCTGATTCTCTCATAGCAGCTTTTTCTCGGGGTTGTTGCACGGGCTCTGAGGATCGTATTGCAACGTGCGTAATCATCGGAGATCTCAATGCTGTGTAAGTAAGCGTCAGATGTTGCGGCTGGTGTTCAGACTTGTGGAGAAACTCTGCTGCGAGTATGCTTACCTGAGGCTTCGATCGTTGTCATCTCGCAGTATTCTCTCAATGGATATGCCCTAACTGGCGAGGTAAGAATCATCTGGATTTGATAGTGAAGATTGAGATGGCTTAGCGGATGCCAGTAGATTAGGCCCTAGCGCTGTTGTACATTTGACGTTGAGCTATGATGTGGCTTCAAGCCAAAGATGCGCGTGTTGAAGATGAGTTCTACTCAAAGTGCCAAGTCCGAGACTGCTCGTGTACACACGGAGATTTTTAACCATAGGTTCCCGTTCGGTAGGACGATGCTTATCTCTTCGAGCGCCGTTCCATGCATAGTAGACCAGGATGCCGCACATAGCTGTGGCCACAGAGACGTTTCAGTCATCTTAATTTGGCCAGGACCGTTTTCTTCTTGTCGCTCTTGATCCACTAATTTCTGACAAGATCGACGGGCTCCTTGACGAGACGAGTGGTGCATAACTCAATGACTTGTGCATATGCAAATGGTTGCGCTCATCCCGAGGGATGAGCAAGAGTCCTTGATTCGATCTTGTCATGCTGCTCCGGGCGGCGATCTGCGATCTCCGATGGATTTATTGAGATCTGTGAGACGGTATCATATCTTGCTGACTGCGAGGTCCGATTGTGCGACCAGTGGGCGTGGTGGGCTCTGAGGGGATAGTTAGCAGCTGGCTACTGTTGGACCTGACACCACTCTCCAGGCTATTTTTCTGGCTTCCCTTTTCTTGTTTTCTCTCTCCTTAAGTCGTCTCGATAAATTTATGAGAAAGCCAATACATATGGGCTGGACTGGAATCATCTCCTCGCGTATATCTGTGGTGTGTGATAGAAGCCTTGGCCGTAATCCTCAGTGGATCTTACCCCACATGCGATCAGATGATGGACTGCACATCTTGTGTCACATTTCTGCAGTGGGTTTACTTGATCTGTGCATGCATAAGCTAGAGGCGCAGTTGCGATGAACATTCGAACAATAATAGCATAGTGGCTAAGCATTGCAAGGCCTGTTCGTGGCAGTACAACAGCTGCCAACTGAACTACCTCTACCCACCTAAGCACTTCCTGCTGCCGTTGCTGCCCAGGTAAAGTACTATCAACTAATTCCCCGAATGTGAAGTATGCGGCGTCGATAGCCGTTGCTGATTCAGGATCTGACGTGGCGCCGCCTGATTTGTGGACACGCTCTCTGTCGATGCATTTTCCTGCGTCAGGTGCTGAGCGCGTAGAGCAGGCGGCACAAAAGACATTTAATGCGCTCCTTGCCCTTGCTTTTTTTTCGATTGTCTTCCTTCTTCTTTCTCATTCTTATATGGACTCTTGAGGTATCTTCTGATCGATATTTGACTGGAAGCGCTACTTTCAAGAGCTGACGCAGCTGAAGTGAGATATCGGTGTTGTTTATTCTTCGTTCGCCGGGATGACTTTGTGGAAGTCGGCTCTATATCTCTATCGCGTCGAGAGCGATCAGTCGAGGGGTCAAAAGGTTAGGAGTGGCGGTATTGAGTCTGAGGGACGCCACTGGGTCGCATTTCGACCTCAAAGCAGGAGACAAAGGGTGGAGTTGAGGGATGAACTGTGGGCGCACCTGGATTGGAGGAACCGAGAGCCGACAGCATTCGTTTCGGCTTCGCAGGACCGAGACTGGGCGATCAACCAAGCCGAGAGACGTGCGCGTGACGGAGAGACGAATGTCAGGGTGTACGTGATTGAGGTGCCCCGTCTGGGAGTGTATAAATCCCGATCCGAGTGCTGGGTGACCGTTATGAAATTGGATGCATGGCTCGAGGTGGCTAACTCCAAACTTCCTGATTATGCTGACTTCCCGTCCTCGGCAAATGAATATCTGTTCCTTCATGATATCCCAGAGGACTTTATTGTTGACACTTGGTCGTTTTGATGTTCTGGTGGTTGGAGACGAGGTGGAGGAATGGTGCCTCGGCGGAATGCAGTCCGTTGGTTGATGTCAGTAGCAAGTTGAGCTTGTTTCTAGTCGTTACTGTTGGGCGGATATTGGGCAAGGGCATGTAGATCTCATTCATTTTATTTTCTTTGTGCGACTGATATCAGCTGTACCTTCATTCGACTTTCGGGAGACGTACAATTGATGATAAGGTGTTCGTGAGCGTTGATGAGGCCCTTCAAAAGGTTCGCCTCGGCCTCGAGTTGGAGGGGACTTCTGGCATTCATACACACCTTCACTGTTATTTGGGATGCCATCATCGACGTGCCTTTAGCGATGCTGAAACATATATTCGCATTCAGACAGCAGCCGCGTAAGAGCCTTCAAACCTCAGGCTAATAATCTGTCGAATCCTAAGGAGTATTTCAAGCTGTGATACTCGGTTATAGCATGAAGTCTGAAGCTGGAGTAACAACCATTCCAATCAAGATAAAACCACACAATGACTATGAATTGAGCCATGGATGCTTGAATGCTAGCTGAGCATAATTTTACCTCATAAACTAAAGTTAAAGACAATTTTTCATCAACTAGACAATATGGCCGAGCGGTCTAAGGCGATAGACTAGAAATCTATTCTCTTCGGAGGCGTCGGTTCAAATCCGACTGTTGTCGTTTTTGCCTTCTTTTTTCCCTTGCCGCCGATCCTGAAGCAACAATAAGCTGGACGGCTCAATGCCGGCCATCCACGAGCTGAGCAGAAAAATATCTTTTAATCAAGACTCAACCCGCCAGCCGTGTTCATCGGGATTGAATAGGTGTTGAATACTGTTGGGGCTGGCCATTCCTTTCCGGATGAAGCAGCCAACACCGAGTCCAATGGATATAGCCAAAAAATGACAGCCGAGATCCCACCCTCTTTGTTTCCGTTTATAATAAATAGTACCCCGGAGAATTTCCGACTCAGCCACATCCATTGTCCTATCCTCACTTATCCTCGGTAATCTCCCACAATCTTATGGCCGCCACCCTCATAGACTGGCGTTGGCAGATAATCTCCAGCTACGAACCCGCTCGTCCCATATCCAGCATGAAACACACATCGCAGTTGAAATATAGAAACACCCGTCACACCAAATCCAGAGATAGCTAGCTCCACACAACCCACCCAGCTCCATGATAGTTTACCACCGGCTAGTAAGTAATTCCCTTCCACAGCAGGAAGAACAATGCCTATATCGAGGAGAGAAACCCACGACCTCTGGGCCCTAGATTTCTGGGTTGAACGCAAGCGGGAACTCTCGCTCCCGGGCTTGTTGGTACTTCTCCAAGACCAGACTGGAGCACGCATTCACAAGAAAATCTTCACTCCGCCGGAGATTGCCCCAAGCCTGCATTATGTCATGATCCGGGTTATCACACGCGACGGTGAGTGCCTCGAATCAGCCCACAAGGACCTTGACTCCAAGCTCTGTCGACTGATGGCTAACGAGGACTGGGAACACGAGGAGCAGACCGAGCTGAATTGGTCCACCAAGATGCTGCGTCGTGTACGGAAGGACGGTCAGAAGGATGGCTATCATCTACAGTTCTGGAAGATCCAGGAATTCCCCCGCGACAGTATTGAACCCGTGGATTTCGCTACCGCTGAGGTGGGCCTTCGGGTGCTCGAGCTTATGAATGAGTGGCAATGAGAGCATTGCGGAGCATGGATTTGGGGCGGTGGCTTCGCAATTGGATGGTCACTCCTCTCTCACTTGAATGTGTTAAGTATGAATATGAATATTTCCAATGATTGTCTTTTCCGTTCTATTGATATACAGTATTAGGGAGATAAGTTGTACGACCGTAAGTGGCAAGTGGCAAGCAAGTCTAGGCCAGCAATTCACTTGGCTGCTTGCATCTCTGGTCTTTGAGCTATCGCGCGCTAAGGCTTCTAGATCGCATCGTGCCCCACCCGCTGTCAATCTTTCTATGGCTGCATTTACTTTTCTGAATATTTTCCACAATTGATCGACCGCATCTGGGTTATCAATTTGATGTTCTGTGTTTATTGGTGGTGAGAATCCTTGTCAGCCGCAAGTTTGCCGTGTTTGTGGCTAGTTTTCTGTTTACTTCCCCTCATAGTCTCTCATAACTACACCGTACCCCACTTTTGCTCTTCCTTCTCCTTCCTCATCCCCTTTGGCAAACAGCCTGAACACACCATCTGACGCCTCCTCCTCTTTCTTCTGCCTTTCAACACCCATGACTTCGACTATCAAGCAATAGTGATTATTTTGTCATGGCCGTCAAAGGCCTGCTGTTCATTCGTTGCCGGGGTAGGTACTTTGCGTACTCCAACCGGTGGGACAGTTATCCGGAAGGTCTGGGCATAGAGTTGTTCGACACTATCCCCGCAGATCCCATCCAGTACCAAAGCATGTCACCCGTACAGAATACACCCGCCTTTCAACAAGCAAGTCTTTCTAACCTCTCATTCAGCATGGCTCGAAGCTCTTCGCTCCACGTTTTCGCGTCTCGTCCACCAATTCGAAACGCAATGCCTCCCTGTCGCCATCCAGTCCATCGACGAGGACTCGAACGCCTCCCTCACTGAGCGCTACGAGATGAGCTACTTGGCCCTTGACGACCGGCTTAGATCGCCCCCTTTGCAGCTAATGCCCCCGGAATGGCGGAGCGGAGATCATGAATGGGTTTACACCGTCGATTTAGACAAGGAGATCTTTAGCATCGACAATGCCGTCCATTTCCGGCTCTTCAGCATCGCCAGCGACCGGAATTGGACCATGTACCTCGGTAAGGACGCTCGTCGCCGCCGCGCGCCTGCCAAGTGGACACCCTCACATGTGCTTGCCGATCCCACCTTCAAGCCTCAGGTGAACGAGACCCTGGTTGAGATGTTCAACCGGCTCAAGGTCGAAGTGGTTGCGCCAGAGTCCTTCTATCTCCCTCAAGATATCTCCTTTCTTCGTGAATCCTTTCTGGCCTCAGCGTTCACAAGATTGCAGGGGCACTATCGCGATCTCCTGGACGGGAGCTATCTTGAATGGGGCCCCACAGACTTTCCCTTCAGAGAGATAGCATATGCTATCGTGTCTCTGGCCACGGGTGCTGTATCGTTTGCGAGTATCAGTTCCTTGGATGCCAACCACAAGAAGGAGGGGTATTACCTTGTCCATGGTGAAAAATCTTCAAACTCTGGGTTTCCGAGCCTCCGACCAACCCTGCTCCCCCGATTTTTGCACGAGTCACACTATCCCGGGGTGGGGGCCGGGTCGGCTCCCCGGCAAACAACGTATTGGTTGGATAGTGTCTTGGTCCACTTGGTCTCGGGCCTAGATCGCGTCGACATAGAAGAAGCCGCGATTGCCGAAGCCGTGGAAGCCGGACTCGAACAGGGGCGAAATTCATTCTATGCAATCGTCTTCTCGATTTTGGATGTAATCCTGCTGCGTGTACAGAAGAAATCATGCCTGGGTGTTGTTGTGGAGAGAAGTCCACTTATGACATTGTTCGAATTTGATGACACTAATTCTTCGTTCGCAAGCGGGCCTCGGAATCGATTGCCTCGCAATTTTGGGAACGTCAAGGAATCTCAAGATGGCACCAGATCTCATAGCAATCTTTGGGCCGATGATCTTACCCAACCCAAAAGCCATGACCGTCAACTGGATGATGACGCTTCCAAGTCACTGACAATGCGCCTTGCCGGGAAAATGAAGTATTCCATTGTCTTTGTGACACTATTACGTTTCTTCGACGCAGCTACGTATCATGATCTGGAAGGTGCAGTGTCCCATGTATTGCCGAACGAGACCCTGGCGAATGTGATGCAATTCACCGATACTCAAACATATCGCACGCTTAGCAAATTGTCAGCTTATTGCCGCAAGACCAGTCTTTCCGAGTTTCGGCTGAATGACCATTGTACCATCGTTGACTTTGATCTCCACAGTACCTCCTACACTTTGGTCGACAAGCGCACGGGAACGCAGAGCACCACTCGACTCTGTCGTGGGGGTTCCACGCGAGGATGCAAGGAATTAGTATTGTCCCCGATCATCGGAATCGAAAGCCCCTCAAGGCGCAGTATCATCGATTCTGTGCAGTTGCACTTTGTGAACGTCCCTAGCAGGGAAGCACCTTACACAAAAACCATTGCAATGCCGCGCAGGTAGGAGTGTGCCTTCCAGTCACATCATGGGCAGTGGGGTTGGGCAACATCTGATCTCTCATCACAGAGCGGCGTATGACCGATTGGCTTACCCCGGCTTCGCTCCCTCCATCAACTTCGACATGCTCTTCCATCTTCCCGACCATCTATATGTTGGGTCCGTCGAGGAGGGCTGGGACCGATACCTCAAGAAGTTAATTCGAAGATATCAGGATGAGGAGGACAGCCCCGGATCCAGTTTTGATACGGGGCTGTTCGACTGTGTCCGCCCACCCGGATACCGTGAGATCACCATGGACGCCTTCCGCTGCAGTGGCTTCCACTGTTTCCTGCGCCGCGCCCGGGACGAGAGTGTCGACGAATGGGTGGCCACCACGCAGTTTGCCCTGCGTCGTCTGCATATCCGCGAAGGCCGGGGCGGCGGGTATGAGGCGGAGGAGAGATTCCCCCTTCCCGGGCGGCCCGTCGTGGTCGCCTTCTCCGCCCGTGCCGGGCTCTTCTATTATGTGCATCATCGCCTTGAGAAGCCCATTTTACCGCCGGGGGTAGGGTATCATAGCCTCGAGATAGCGGAGAGATGCACCGATCCTGACCTGCAGCGCCGCCTTGTTCCGCTGATCCCCGGGGTGATCGACTTGAGGAATTACTCGTCCCGGGTCGAGTTCGAGAGCTGGTTTGAGCGGTTCTGCCATAGCGTCGGGGAGAAGACGGTGTACGATCCGTTCACTGACCAACAGCAGCCTCTGACTCGTGTGCCGGAGCCACAGCCTCATCTAAGTAAACAGCCTATGACTAGTACGGAGCCTGTTGGGAGCGATGTGGTATATGATTTGCCTTCTATGTATAGGTCCTTAGGGTAGCTGGGGAGGCTACTGCTGTTGCTGTTTGGATACGTAAGGGGCCTCAGGGGAACTAGTACTGACTGGACAGAGGGTGAACTGACAGCACACTGAGTCATTGGCTTTGTAAACCGAACAGGGCTATCAGACATATAGGGAAGCGATCATTGACATGGGCCGAGAGATTCAGTGACTAGATTCTCTCTAAACTTTGATAAGAATTTTCGTTATCTTCAGGAGTTCCTTCTGTCATTTCCGTGCCAGCTCCCGTTGAGAAGTCGGGGGATATCCGACATAAACCCACCAGCAGCTTTACTCATGTCTCAGGAGGAACCGTTCACAATTGTTATTGTCCAGCACAATGAACATCTAGGCGGGCTTCAATCAAATGACTTGAACCACAAGCCTATCTCTTTGTCTCTTCTGCAATGGGGGGCTCTGATGCACGACAAAGCTCATTCACGAAGGACATGGCCTTTGTCTGACGAAGTCCAGTTGTTCTTTGTCTGTTAAATGATATTATATGTCTTAGGCCGGAAGGGAAATTAATAAGTACAACTTATGTGAACTATACCAACTCGATTGCTGATTCTACTTCTGCTTTCATCCAAGATCCCTCGCAGCTCACTATAGTTATCGAAATACGACTTTCTCCGTTATATCAACATACAATCCAACATCTCCAGAGAGAGTATACCATCGAACATGTCCTCCGAGCCTCCCCGAGCCCCCAAGCCCAAACGAAGCCGAAGGCAATCTCTCGTGGCCCGCAACCATGCCCGTTACGAAAAGACTCGCCATCTCACTCCGTATGCTCTACTCGAGCTCGACCTCCGACAAGAGGAATGCGTCGCGCATCCTGTCCGGTATGCCTGCCATCTTCTGCCTTTCCCATCGGTTCATTGAAGATACTGACATCCAGGATCCAGAGCCCGCACCTTCGCCCCGGAAGTATACAGCCACCTCTCCGAAGCGCAACGAGCCCACCTCCGACAGCTGGCCGAAGACGGTGGGCCCGATCTCTCAGATCTGCGGGGTGTACGTCCGCCCCATCGTCATCCCCATCCCTGATTCCCTTCCATTCTCTGCCCATCATCAACCCTAAAAACCCGATACTGATACTGATACTAACATGACGGACGGGGAAAATAGTACCCAAGAACACAGCCTACCAAATCCCCCGGCCCCACCGCCCCCGCCTCGGCCTCGGCCTCGGCCTCCCACCAGGCCTCAACCCTACCCCCAACAAGCACCTACACCCCCAGCATCGAAGAACCATCCCCAGCCTCCTTTTCGCCCCTCAACCCCTCCTCTTCGCCAACCTCCCACTCAGCCTCATTCCCGGAACCCTCCGAACCCTCCGAACCCTCCCCCCGCAACCCCACCAAACCAACCCCCTACCTCTACGGCCCCTCCAAAACCTTCACCACCCACGCCCCAGACCACTCCCCCCTCCGCCCCCATCACCATCACCACCACCATCACCATCACCATCGCCACCACCGCTCCATCTCAGACGACCCCCGCCACCGCCGCCGCCACCGCCGCCCCCGCTCCCGCCCCCGCCGGACGGGCAGCGTCCTCCGCCGCCGGGTCCTCCTCCAGGAGGCCCGCCGTGGCAGCGTCGCGCGGTACGGGCTGGGGGCGGCCGGGTTCTGGCATCGACGGCGGCGGCCCGACGGGCGGCTGGAGAGCCAGGCCGAGGCGGATGCGCGGCGCGCGCGGGCCCGCCGGGCGTGGAGCCAGGAGGACTACAGGGTGGTGTTTGAGGCGCTTGCTTCGGTGAAGTCTGCGGTGGCTGAGGGGGGTCGTGGGGTTAGGGGGAGGAATGGGGGGAGCCGGAGGGGAAAGGGTGGGAGCCGGAGTCGGAGGTCGGGGTCGGGGTCCGGGTCTGGGGAGAAAGGGGAATAGGGCTAGAGGGTAGAGCTTTATCTTGGGGATCGGGGGGGGGTTGTAGATTGGTGTATGGTTCTTTGGGTTAGGGCTTGGTTTGGGGGTTGATTGTTCTGCGGTGCTTTTGTGTATCTGGTTCTGTTCGTGTTGCGTTGAGATTTATGCTGTTTTTATAAGTTACTTGGTAGGGACTTTGTTATTGTCATGGTTGCCTTTGTTGAGAATGAAATGTCGTATATGAGAATCATACTTGTTATAGTTATGTTCAAACTGTAGTATCAATAGTATCAATTCAAGCCCTCATAATCATATACATAATAGGTATCAAACAGCCCAGACCAAAAACTCCCTGTCGCAAATCTACAACCCTCCAAGAAAAAAACACCCGAAACACCTTTGGCCTTCAGCCTAGTAGCCTCCTCCCTCAACCTAGCTATGCTGGTACTTGACCAGCGCATCCCGCACCAGGGCAATCACCTCCTGCAGCACCTCCGCCTGGCCCGCGTGCACGTCCACGATCAGCGCGTCCCACTCGTCGCCGACCACGGGCTCCTCCAGGTCCATCAGCTGCGACTGCACCATGCTGCTCTTCATGTAGTGGGCCTGCCGCTGCGTCACGCGCTGCAGCAGCGCCGTCGGGTCGACCTTGAGGTAGATGAAGTGGATCTGCACCGAGGGCGACCCGTACGCGGCCACGCGCATCACGTCCCGGTACTTCTTCTTCAGCGCCGAGCACGCCACCACCACCCCCGTCGGCGGCCGGTAGCCGTTCGCCTCCGACGGCGACAGCGCCGAGATCGCCGCCTGCCGCAGCGAGATCAGCCAGTCCCATCGGTCCGCGTCCGTCAGCGGCACTCCGTTGCTCATCTTCGTCTTGTTGGAGGCCGGGTGGAACTACACCGGACCGAAATCAGTATTCACGGGCGATGCGAAAGGGGTCGACTGGAGATAGTTGGTGTTTTGGGGGGGGGGGGTTCGGGGTAAACGTACATCGTCGCCTTCTAAGAACGGTACCCCCAGTTCTTCCTGCAGACCGCGCCCGACGGTGCTCTTCCCACACCCGGCGGGCCCCGTCACCACCCAGATGTGTTGGATCTGCTGCGGCGGTTGCGCCGGAGGCTGCGGCTGGGTCTGGTCCGCCCACATGGGGTTGGTGGTGGTGTGGTTGATGTTGAGGGGGGTGTCGACCACCGCGCCCTTGTTCTTCATGGCGGGTTGCGGGCGTTCGCCGGCGGAGAGCATGGTTTTTAAGTTTATGGGTTATTGGTTTTTCGGGGCTTGGGGGTTTTTGGGAGTCAAGGAACGGTGCGCTGGAATAATTGGGTGTATGACGTGCTCGGAATTTGTGAAATTAGGTTAGAACCACAGTTGGGATTGTTGGAGTTGGAGCTTGTGTAGGCAACGGTAGAGTGTAAAGGGTGTGGTGTTTGTTGTAGTGGATGTAGTAAGTAGGGGCGGGTAAAGTTGGCTTGAGTTCTCCCTGACGCAACAACCGGGGGAAAGACTGAGCTTAAGAAGGACAAGGACAAGGACAAGGACAAGAATAAGATCGGGGAAGAAACTACGGCTATAAAGCAGAAGGGAAAAGACGGGAAATCAGAATGATGAAAGGGTTTCCAGGACGGGCAACAATACTAATAATAATCCCATGGACTGTGTGGGTCAGTCAGTCCGGGGGGGGGGCGTTATCGGCTTCAGAATGACACTGTTTCGTCCGGTCTGGTTTTCCTTCAATTTTCGACTTGAATGAATGTGATTGATCGTTTTTCCTACTCAGTATCCCCTTTCCAGGATCCACCCCGGCTTCTGGCATCGGGTGTTGAGACAGCGCGCAGCATGGGCCGGATTTAAGGTATCAGAAGTAGAGGGAAGAATTCCCACTCGTCATTTCATCACCACTGCATTTGGAGTGGGGGGGAAAGGGAAAGGACAAGCACCAGCAAAAAAAAGGGTGGGGGAAAAAAAGAAATAAAGAAGCGTCTTTTCTTCTCTGAGACTCCGGCGGTCTGGTTGTTAGCGGGAGATCCGATCGGGCTCTGTATCACAGACGTATGGCTTACACCTCCCTGTATTTACACCATAGACAACTACGAGTAGAAAGCCACAGGAAGAGTGTCCATGCAGTGACGCAGCACCTGTATCACATTCTCCGCTGTTGCCATTGATCCAGATGAGACGAAAATCCCTCCCATTGCTCCAATCATTATCTCGAACCAAGGTGTTTCGGAGGAGTATCGGGCGAGATAACCTGCCCATGCCATGATGTCACTGGAGCTGTGATGTGTGACCGGCGTTTCGGAACAGTCGGTAAATTTCCCCTTCCGTAATCTATTTTCCGGCCAGCAAAAAATTGGGGGTTGTTCCCCCCACACTATTCCCTCTATGGCACTAGCCTCCTTGTTCCTTTTCTATGCACCTTCTTCGATGCTTCCAGAGGCTTTCCTCTCTCGAAAGGCTCGCTCCAGTTCTACCGTGGACCGTGGACCCATTTAAGACCTTCACAGTTGCATGAACAGAAACAACCACAACATTGGATGGGGTTACTGTTCTTTCCGTTGGTCTGTTTGCAGCAGCCTAATCGCCAAACCAACTGGCAATAGTGTCACGAGGTCTCGAGACAGCAAGAGACAAAAAAAAAAGTCCGGCCTGGGCCGTACCTTTTCCTTTTCCCCGGTGCCAGCCATTGCGACAGGTCGGATTTAAGCTTGACGGGGGTCATTTCCCTCTGTTCACAGCAGAACTCCATTCCCGTAGTTACACGTCGTTTGGTGTCACTTTTGACCCAACCAGAACCAGAGCTTTCTTCATCTTCCCCCTCTTGTGAAACCATTTAGCTCTGATCATGCGTCCCTCCCTTCGCTCACCGCCGCTGAAGACGTGAATGGGAAATTCGCCGAGGAACACAATGATCAAATTACCTTGCATTGGCTGCAAGCAACTTTTCCAAGGTTGATCTTCCCTGGCGGCTCTGTGCATGATCCGACTAGAGTGCAAGGGTTCATTACCGGATTTCTGCCCAACGACCTCCTCCTTGAAGCGAGAGAAATAACCTTAAGCGCCCTAAGCTGACAGATTATTCCCATCGGAACTGGTGACTGTGTCTCCTCAAACAACCCCTCATTTTTATAGACAGGTCATCCAATTAGAGTATCGATCCCTGACAGTGCAGAGGGGACGGATGACTTCCCCAGACTTTCTGGAGCCTGTTTCTGCAGCGCAAAAGGAGCAATATTCCCCGCTCCAGCGACTTTAGAGTGCGTTTATGCCCCGTCGATCTTGCCGCATGTCATTAGGACAGGACCATATATGCAGAGTTTCTCCGATACATCACGAGCTATCAACAGATCCGAGTAGGAAGTCGCACATGACGTGTAATGTACTGGAGTATAAGATAAAAGGCGTTCCATACAGCGAGTGCTTCTTTGGCGGGCAGCATGACGAAGGCGGTGAGTATGTAATCGGCGATAGTGCCAGCGCGTCCACCGCCGCCAGGCAGTCGAGATGCCGCCGAGGGAGCTGGCCATCTCACGGCCATTCCTGCCCGCTAATTATTATTCAATTTGATTTTACACTCAGGTACACGGCTTGACTTGACGAGCCTACTAGGTAGACTTTGCCAGCCGCTGCCAATCAGATTTGTTCCGCTCCTCCCTTCCCCCCGTGCAGCACCCTAGCTCCTTGACTCCTTCCTCCCCCCCCCCCCAACGATGACCTCCCTCTTCTTCTCCACCCCGGTGGACATCGACGTGGTTCTCGAAGATAGCGATGAGCGCCAAACGGTGGATGTCAAGTTGGACAAGGGCCGTCGCGAGAGGGTCCCTCTCTACATGGACGGCGAGTCCGTCAAAGGAGCCGTGACCGTCAGACCCAAGGATGGAAAGCGGTTGGAACACACTGGCATCAAGGTGCAGTTTATCGGTACTATTGGTATGCGACCTAGGCCTTCATCCCCGCGCGCGGGCATATCCATCTTATCACACTGCCACAGCTCAACACTAGGGTGCACTAAATCAGGCTAACCAGCTCCTTCACAGAAATGTTCTACGACCGCGGCAACCACTACGAATTCCTCTCCCTGGTGCAGGAGCTGGCGGCGCCCGGCGAGCTGCAGCACCCGCAGACCTTCCCCTTCAACTTCAAGAACATAGAGAAGCAGTACGAGTCCTACCACGGCATCAACGTCAAGCTGCGCTACTTCGTCCGGGTGACGGTCTCCCGGCGCATGGCGGACGTGATCCGCGAGAAGGACCTCTGGGTGTACTCGTACCGCATGCCCCCGGAGACCAACAGCCCCATCAAGATGGACGTTGGCATCGAGGACTGCCTGCACATCGAGTTCGAGTACTCCAAGTCGAAATACCACCTGAAGGACGTCATCGTGGGCCGCATCTACTTCCTCCTGGTGCGTCTCAAGATCAAGCACATGGAGCTGTCGATCATCCGCCGCGAGACCACGGGGTCGCCGCCCAATCAGTACAACGAGAGTGAGACGCTGGTGCGGTTCGAGGTGAGTGCAGCTGAAACACGATTCGGGGGATGAGGATAGTGCTGGGGAATGCTAACGGCGCACATTGCAGATCATGGATGGGTCGCCCTCTCGAGGTGAGTGAGAATCGGGCCCTTGAAAAATAGCCAGCCAAACAACCTTGACGAGTACAGCTAATGCTGACAATACCTCACCCAGGTGAAACCATTCCCATTCGTCTCTTCCTCGGCGGATTCGACCTGACACCCACTTTCCGCGATGTCAACAAGAAGTACTCGACGCGATACTACCTCAGCCTGGTGCTTATTGACGAGGGTAAGTCGGTTACGCTGTCTCTCTCTCTTTGTTCTCTCTGTTTCACAACCCCCCCCCCCTTGCCTTGTTTTTTTTTTTTTTATTTCGTTCTGCATTGTCACAGAACATCGGGCAGAAGTGTATGTCCACTTGCCGGAGACCGGTCGGCGGGAACCAGCCCCCCTTCCAAACCAACCGCCGGCGCACACCACACTAAACATCCCACGGCATCCCACTGTTCCCCCGTTCCCCCCGTTCCCCGTTTCAATAGCCGGTCGGCTATTGATGAAAGCCACCCCTCCTCTCAAGCTGATCGGGCCACACACACCGCCCGCCACATCCAGTTCATCAATTACTACCCCCACACTAAACCCCAAGCGATGGATGGGCTTCTCCCCCGTCTTTGCCTAGAGGTTTTCCTCACGTGGAAGCCCCAATTTTTCCAATCGCGTTCCTTCCCCCAATTTCCTTCCTTCCCCCACTCCATCCGACTGCCTGCCTTACCCCAAAATCAACCAACAACCCCGCCTTTCTTCCCAGATGCCCCTATCAACAACAACAAGCTCATCATCATCATCATCATCATCATCATCATCAACAACAACAACAACCACCACCATAACAAATTACACGCAGTCCACTAACCCCATAACCCATGAAACACAGACGCCCGCCGCTACTTCAAACAATCCGAAATCGTCCTCTACCGCCAAGCCCCGGAGATCGCCCCCACCCCGCAAATCGCCCAGCAGCAGCAGATCCAGCAGCAGCAGTTGCTCCAACAGCAACAGCAACAGCTGCCCGTCGGCTCGGCCACCCCGGGTCCCGGTCGTAGTGAAGCCCATCAGCAGAACCATTTCGCGCAGCAGCAGCAGCAGCAGCAACAACAGCAGCAGGCGGCTCAGTCCGTTCCTGCTCCTGCGGCTTAGCGGTCTTCTAATTTGTTGTAAATCGTTCGAGCTAAGTAATGCGTGAACCTTTTTGCCTGGTTAGAGAGGTGCGGTTGCTCTTGCTCTGGTTGGTAGTGTATGGGCGGGCTGGTGCTGGGGCTGAGCTGGAGCTGGAGCTGAGATGATTTGTACTTGTACTTTATTTCATATATACCCTTGCTTTTTCTCCTTTTTACTTTGTTGCTTTGTCGGGGGTGGAGATGTATGTGCATGTGGTGTAGTCGGGGGATTATGTGGTGTATTGTGTAGGCTGGGGTGATGGGGGTGGTATAGGTTTGTGTGCACGATGTTGCGGACTTTCTGCTCCGTAATTTATTTGTTGGAGATGTAGGTGGGAGTATTAGGCTGGGGTAGTAGTATCGCTGATAGCTACACTCCAATTCCTTTTAAGGAAAGAGGCACTTCTACGATAACTATGACCCGATATACAAATCTCAAGCGGCTGCCTATACGTTCATCCAACAGGGATATCGATTAAGACTAGAGCACAAACTAAGAATACATCTTTATCTGCCATTAACGGAACGGACGCCTCCAAGGGCCCCGAATCACGCCGACAGAACCTGGCCCAGGGCACGCAGAACCTCCCCGTCGTCCTGCTGCTTTCCGGCTACCTGCACGGCTCGTACGACGAGCGGGTAGATCCACGCCAGGTGCTTCTTATGATCCAGGTCGCCTGGACTATTGATCGACACGCCGTTGACCGTGCCCGGGGGCGCGGGGACCGTCGACGGGTCGCTCTGCAGAGCCACCATGCCCCGGAGAAGGTGCAGGAGGGATTTCCGGGCCGGAGTGGGCTGTGGCATCAGGCCCCGCAG